TTCTCAACATACACATACACACACACAGAAAAGAAAATGGTAGCTCTGTGAGGTGATGCATATGTTAATTTACTTGACTGTGACGATTCTTTCACAGTGTATACATGTACCAAATCTTAAAGTTGTACATCTTAAATATATTTTATGTTTACACAATACAATACATCAATAAAGTACAAGCAAAAAGTAAAGGGGATTCAAAGGGAAAAGTTCAGGACCAAGATATTTCATATTGACACAAAGATAAATTAACCAAGAATATATTAGAGTTAAGAATGTGTACGAGCCAACAAAAGAGCTTAAAAAATCTTTTTTTGAAATACATTCACATACCATGCATTTCACTAATTTAAACTGTACAAGTAAATGGTTTTTAGTATAATCACAGATGTGTGCAACTATCACCACTTTTTTAGAACATTTTCATCACTTCAAAATGAAACCTCATACCCTTTGGGTATCATCTATTTTTTTTAAGATTTTATTTATTTATTAATGAGACACACACACACACACACACACACACACACACACACACACAGGCAAAGACACAGGCAGAGGGAGGAGAGCAGGCTCCACAAAGGGAGCCTGATGTGGGACTCGATCCTGGGTCTCCAGGATAATGCCCTGGACTGAAGGCAGCGCTAAACCACTGAGCCACCAGGGCTGCCCTGGGCATCATCTTTGTACTGTGCACATTCCTCCTCTAGTCCTAAACAACAAACATACTCACCATCTCTATAGATTCTCTCCCTCTCCATAGGGCTTTCTGGTGTTGATTGTTGAAGGTTGCAATTGTCCATTTCCAAACTACTTTTGCAAAGATTGTAATCCTTGTCCTGTATGCTCACTGAAGCTTCTGTTCTGTTATCTCAGCAGTCAGCTAGGGAACAGAATATATTTCCTTAAATTCCTGGAGACAAAATGAAAAAAGAAACAAACAAACCCTTGGTCTTTACATACTGGCTCTGGGCTAGCGTCCTCCTTCAATCCTAAACCAAGCTGACTATAACTCAACCTTAACCTTCACTTCCTACTTAAGTGGCACCCAAAGATCAGCCAGAGACGAAAGGTCCATTCAGGCCTTTTCTGAGTATGTGTCTGCCCCCAGGGAATGCACATTGCATTCCAGATCCTCAGTGTACGTGGTAGTCCTTCACTGCTCTTGTTCCTTTAAGAATCGTCCTCCTCAGCCTCCTCATACCCTGCTTTTGAGCCTGTCTGCTATTTGCCTCATCCTTAATTCCTTGCCCTAGGCAGCAATGGATAGCATATATCTTTAATGCTTCCATCAGGTGCCACTCAGAAAGCCACTCTAACCTGAGGCAGGCAAAATAAAGTTCAGTCTCTGCTATGGTTCCTCAAGGAGCCACTAGACAAGCCAAATGCAGGACTATAATTTTTGAGAATAAGGCCCATATTGCTTTCCCTGTGCCAATACATTGTGCCAGGGATGGGCCATTGTCCACAAGGCTGCTGTTGATTTGGGGAATAAAGGATGGTAGGCAGGTACGCAAAAACCACACAATGTCTCCTACCAAAACTCAGTTGCATCTTTCCTCATTAAGCACTCACTGGTTGACACAGGTATTTGACTAGGTTCGAGTTCTAAAAAAGTTGATTGTGTCTGTTTATGCTAGCAGAATTCTTGCTGGGAAGACCAGTTTTGCAAGGGACCCATTCTTGGAGCTCTCTATTCTATTAATTCCATGTCACTTCTCTTGCAAGCATTTTGGAAAACAGTTTGGCACTATGTGGTAAATCTAAAGATACAGACCAGGAATTCTATTGCTTGTTGTTTACCACAGATCGGTGATTCTCAACTGGGGCAATTTTGCTTCTCCAGTAACATATAGAAATGCCCGGAGACATTTTTGGTTTTCACAACTGAAGCCATGCCACTAGCAGCTGGTGGGTAAAGTGATGGATGCTGCTAAGCACCCTACAAAATATAGAATACTTCCCCCTTGCCCTGTTCCCCCACCACCTACAACAAAATTTTCTGTCCCTAAATGTCAAAATTTCCATGAAACCCTCATCTAGAGAAATGAGTACTCACATGCACAAGAAGAATGCTCACAACTGCACTGTTTTATAATGATGCAAACAACCCAAATGCCCATCAGCAGTGGAATGGATATATTCTTGTGTATACATTCAATGGTATACTTTTTCAATAAAAATGAAAATTAATGAATCATAAAAATTATATTAAAAAGAGCAAAAGTGGTTTTAATAATTATCAATGTAGTGGTCACTTGGAAAAGGGGGGGTTAATATTGGGAAAGGACACATGAATTCTTCAGGGTTTTTGGCAATGTTCTATTTCTTGAACTAGGTAGTATTTACATAGGTGTTCACTTTTTAAAAACTGTACATTTATATTTTACTATTTACATGTGTATTTCATATTAAAATAGATAAAACTTGTCAGTAGCTTTTCTTCTATCACACTCCTGCTTTGACAAGACATTTTTTTAAAAAGGTTTTATTTATGTATTTGACACAGAGAGAGAGAGCACAAACAGGTGGAGTGGCAGGCAGAGGGAGAGGGAGAAGCAGGCTCCTCACAGAGCAGGGAGCCCGATGTGGGGCTCAACCCCAGGACCCTGGGATCAGGACC